ATGGAGAAATACAAGTCCTACTAGGATTGTGCCATACGAAACTTATAAAAGCTCACAAGCAACACCTTGGAGGAGGTAATTGAACACAATCTTTCTGAGAATTTAGAGCTTTGTCTATTTGTCAAGTTTTCTGACTTAGGCATCGGAGAGGTTTCCGGCACACATCCGCCGGCTAGCTCACGTTTGTGTTTTCAGGTGACAAAGCGACGTCGTACGGAGGAGCGTGGACTTGGTCAACAGGATTATACGAGGAGAATTATTTCCTCCCCGTACAAAACTGATTTGAAAAGACATAATGAATAGATTATCTTATAATTGACTTCCTTTATTCAATTCTCAATTTTGTGACTATGAACCATATGCCAAAATCGACTTTATAATAGTTATCACCATCCAATTGAAACTGGGAGGACATTCTCAACCTCCATCATCACTGTCGTTATTGCATAGTACTAGGCATTAAAATAGTTTGCAACTTATAAAACTTGATGTAATGAGACTTTTTTATATGTACAAAGACTAATTGTGTCTTTAGCAATGCTGTAGAGTAAGGTTGCTACAAGCGGGATCCTATATGGGTTCGTACCGTAGAATCGGATCAATGATCATATGATTCTACTTTCAACGCAAAATAAAATAAACATTTATTGATAATGATGCTCTATGTTAAATAATTTTAAAATCATTAATGAAAAATGATAAGTTTAACATAATGCATCTTCTATGTTTAACATAAATTAGAGGATACTCTTGGAGAGGGAGTTTATGGTCAATTTTTATATAGATATACACATATACATACATACATAAAAAATAAAGGATTTATTACACTTTCTACCTATAAACTATCGTCAAATTATCTATTTAGTCCTTGAGTTATCGATTGAATCTATTTAGTCCCTAAAATATATAAATCAAAGTCTATTTAGTCCCTAAATTATTGATTAAATTTATTAAGTCCCTAAAATATTTAATTCAAACCTATTTAGTTTTTAAAATGATTATAAAAATAAAATATATGCCCATATATATTATAAATTAGTAAAAGACGCTCCCCAACTAAGATTTTATTACAAAAAAAATTTTAAAATTTTTATTTTTCCTTTAAAAGGTATTTTCTTTCGTTGTGTGTATAAATTTATATTCGAGTCTGATTCAGTCTTGCCAATAAATTATATGAATATTAGATATACGGAAGAAGTAGAATTAGATAATTTAAATAATAATACTTCTCTACAAATGGTAATAGAACAAAATAATACATTAATTAAATAATGAAAAGAACATTGTGAAAAACTTAAAAACAATCAATTATAAATGAAGTCTGAAGTCTGGCATATAGTAGATAAAGGCAAGCACATATCTATTGTAGAAGATAAGTAAAAAAATACTATAAATAATTACCCTTATCCTTATAAAGAATATTCAATATATGGATTGACACCCACTTTTAAAGACATAATAAAATTTTAATTTTTTGAAATAAATTTTAATTAAATAGTCTTTTACTAATTTATAATATTCATGAGCTTATATATATATATACATATATTTTAATCGTTTTAGAGACTAAATGAGCTTGAATTAAATACTTTAAGGACTTAATGGGTTCAATAGATAGTTCAGGGACTAAATGTAACGCCCTCAAATAAATGATATAAGATAGGTCTAATAAACTCCTTTAATTATAATAATTTCAACTAGGTGACCCAATCTCTATATTTGTATTCCATTAATGTGAGAGATCTACAAAAGAGTCCACATGCATTACGTATTCAATCTTTGTAAAGGGTGAATCTATAGCATGTGCGATGATTGAAACAACAAAAATAACACAAAAGAATGTCCAATGGACTGTAAGTGCCAAGGCTTAAGCCCGATTACACAAAAGATGGTCATCCAAAACACATACAATTAAAGCCCTTGGCTTGCCAAAAATATACAACATAATAAAAGAGAGCCTCGTGCTCTCAAGCACATTCCTCGCCCTTAGTTAGTCGGTAGCACCCAAATCCACTAGGGATGAGCACAAGCTTAGTAGAGAGATTTTAACAAAGTATATATGTTTAAACAGTCTTAAAAATAAATGTTATGCAATGTCATGCTTAAAAATTCATAACTTTGTTTCATTTTGAAAACCATATGCAACTCTCGTTTCAAAAGTCATTATCTCATAAATTGCAAAATATTCAACGGGGCAGTAAATACGGCTCAAGTAATCTCTACGTTGGTGTCTGCAATTAGGCATGTCAAGCACTACCAATCTCCACTTTACCCACTACTCACTACAAGAATTAACACTTTTGGCAACAAAAAAAATGGTCGCTAAAAGTCCATTTTTGGTCGGCAAAAGTTATCCGCGACCAATTTTTTTGGTCGCTACTTTGGTCGCCAATTGAGGGTCGGCAAAAGTAATTCGCGACCAAAATTTTGGTTGGTCGACAAAAGTTGGATTTGCCGACTAAATTTTTTGTCACTAAATATTCAATTACTGCGACTAATTCATTTTGTCGCTAAAACACTTTGGTCGCGAAAAGTGATATTTTCCCAACCAAATATCTTAGTCGCCAATTGACACATTTCGCGACCAAAAAGTTTGGTCGCCAATTATCACATTCAACGACCAAAAAGTTTGGTTGCCAATTGTGACATTCCACGACCAAAAAATTTGGTCGCCATTTGTTACTTTTTGCGACCAAAACTTTTGGTCAACAAAAGTGAGATTCTACGACCAAGAGCTGTTTGGTCGGCAATAGATGTATTTTTTGCGACCAAAACTGTTGGTCGGCAATTGTCATTTTTTGCGAAAAAAAATTATTTATTTGTCGCGACTAATAAATTGATCGCCAAAGCAGGAAAACAATACACCTATAATTCCTAATAATTCATTCAATCCATAATAAACCTATAATTTTAAAGCATCATTCAAATTAACTAAATCATTAACATTCGACACAATACATAATTCATTAACGTTCGACACAATACATAATTTTAAAGCATCATTCAAATTAACTGAATCATTTAATATTTTCTTACTTTCCAATTTCCCAATAGGCAATAACATAGCACATAAATTCAAGGAATGGCACAAGTGACGTTCCATACAGTGGTAAACCCAACAACTACTGATTCAATTCCTCAGGTGAGTCAAATGAGATTAAAACAATTAGCCACAGTTCTTGCTTGCTATGCAGCCACCAATGTTTCTTTTCCTAAAACACAAACAAAACTAAAAGCTACAAATAAACTAAGCAAGAAAAAAATTCAGAGATCTCGAGAGAGTGAATTGTCAGCAGAAAACCACAACGATGCTCTCCCTCCCTACAACTCATCCTGCAGATACAAAGCAACAAACAAGATATATCAAAGTGGATCCTTTGTGGAATTGATATTTTTAAACAATTAGAAGTACAAAGAAATCTTACATGTGCACTCTCTTCTGTAATATCAGCATCTTTGTCAGTTTCATCATCATCAGCCTCGGCATCATTATCATCACCTTCAGCCTGCAAAAAGATTTGGCCAATTTATGGAAAATGTCTTCAATAGTTCACACATGATAGCAGCTAAAGTAAAACACAAAAGAGACCACTTACAGTCTAATGGTTTTACATGTTTAGTATGTTTGGAAAAGCACATTCAACTCAAAAAGCATTGTCTCAACTGTTTAGAACAGAGTTAATTACTGTCTTATACTGAAAGATTATTTAGAACAATGTCTTATATTAAAAATGTGCAACAAGTGAATTCTTTTCCTGACCCATAGAACAGAGTCAATTACTGTAGTCTCTCAACAACCAAATCTAATGTAAACATGTATTTATGTTCTTCTTAACAAACAAGTTGTTTGGTTTGGTGCCCTAAACTCTAAAGTAATTAATCAACTCTACAGAAGTGAACAAACCTCCATGAATCAGGAATATTTATGATTGGTTGATAATCTTAATCATCTCTTTTAAGATTATCAGGATGTACAGCACGTCGTATCTACTCCGCACGTGTTTTCGTATCTACTCCGCAAGTACTAATCGGAAGGCACGTCGTATCTACTCCGCACGTGTTTTCGTTCTTTCACCTTGGACACTCAGGCCAAACGATACCAATCTACACCCCCTATCCGGATTTACCAAATGTATTTACCCCAAAACATTTTCAAGATTTACAATTTTTTTATCAACAACAATTCAATTTCCAAAACATAGCAATAATAATCAATATTCCCCAAACCATGCAAATGCGTGTATGTAAATACGCTTTTACAATTCTCATATTCCCCAATATATTTTACTTTAACACAATACAATCATTAACATCTTCAATGTTTTAAAATTAACTATCACTAGTCATATCCATATCCATGGGACACAAGACCCAATCTACAATCACAATATTATACAATTTTCAACCTTTCCATGATTCTAAGTACTCTTACTATACTATCCATATGCAATTTCTCGAATAAAGTTTCCGTCTTTTACAAGGAGGATTCAACAATGAAACAACATAAAACTTTTCTTATCTTTTTCAACAAAATCCCATGATTCATGAGTTTTCTCTCAACAATTTCAACTTTTTCCCCAAATTTCAAATTTTAGAGTTTCCACACAAAATAAATTTCATTTATTCTCAAGAGGTATTCTTGTCAATGGACTTTTAATAGTCATACATTTCATGAATTAAAAACCAGTTTCATGAGAGAGGTGAGAAATTTCAATTTTTAAAACCCATTAAAAGCCTTCAGTCAAACTCCAAAAACTTAAAGATTTCATCAAGAGGAGGCTAGAATTTGCCAAAATTATATATATAACTCGAAGAAACTCGCTATCTCAAGATTTGGAGAAGAAGAGAGAAGAAACCCCCAAAATTGATGGTGTTTAAATCCAATCTCCACTGCACAAAATGTAGCCCTCAAAAAGTTCTCTAACTTTGATGAAGGAACTTAGGTCAAAACTGAAACGGATTTGGAGAGATCAAAGGTTTAATGGAGTTTGGTGAGAGTTAACGTAGAGTGAAGGAAGAGAAATGCATTTTAGAGAGAGAGAGATGAGGGAAAAGTGAGGTGGGTGCTCAACCAAGGAAAGAAAAAGAATAAAAATTCGGACACAGCACATTTCCACATGTGGGCGCCTTCCTCCGCTTGTGCCGAGTGTACCTCTGTCGCATGTGAGGCACTCATCCCCCATACGTGAAGTTATTTCAGTCTTGCACGTCCAGAAATTCTCCCTTGCCGCATGTGCAACCCACCCTCCTCCACGGGCGGTACACCTCCTGCACGTGCCCTCTGCTCGTGCATTTATTTCAATCTCCAACACAATGAACTCTCTCTCTCACCGCACATGCGGCCATCCTCCCGCATCTGTGGTACTACTGCCAACCAAAATTTTGCAAGCACGAGATTGTTCCAAACAATCTTAACTCCAACTACACTCTCGAAACAAGAGAACTCAACTCTGGAAATGAAGTGAGGATGTAAATTCCAGGAAGGTCTCAAGGATGACAAACTAAAACAGCCAACGAAGTCTCAAATTGATTCTCCGGCATCCCAAACATGAGAAAATAAATACGACTAAATAGAAATAAGACTGGTTACGTACCCAGACGTCACACTAAATAGACTTTGATTTATGTACAGGGACTTAATAGACATAATCGATAGTTCAGAAGCTAAATAGATAATTTGGCAATAGTTTATGAGTATAAAGTGTAATAAACTCAAAAATAAGTAATTAATTTTTTTTTGGTAGGATCAAGATCATAGTACAATGGGATCGTTGTGTGATTTTGCATGATTTTCACTAGGATCATAGTCACTTTAAGATTCTACAAAATTTAAGATCTTAGTGCAATCATGATCGTTTGGCCCAATTTTGGTTGTAGAATTGTAAGGGACACGGGGCCCCTGCTGTGTATTCTCCCTGCCGTGCCTGCTGTGTGCCTCAAAACGACACCGTTTTGCCTACTTTTTTTTTTTTTTAATTTATATGTAAGGGTTTCGTTCTTTAGTAGGACACCCTTATGAAGCTACCGCCGTTTCTAACACTCCAAGGAAAAGACTCTACTGTGTTGGAGTAGAAAAATTAATTTTATTTATTTTATTTTGTTTTTTATTCATTTTTGTCTTCTCTCAAACAGATTGGATAGTATTCTCTGTCTTTGCTTCACCATCCTTCTGCCGGATTTACAGACCATTATTGTTCAACAAACTGGTATGTATATCTATATCTATATCTATATATATTATATGTATATATGTTTTATATTTTATTTTGTATAGTGTGTTAGTGGATTCAACAAGTATAATGGTTTGATTTGTTTTCTGTAAATAGATTGAGAAACACAATTGTATATTATAAGAAAATTTCTTTGTTATGTAATTTGTTTTGTACATATTATGTATTTTTGTACAAATATTATATAATTTTTTTAAGGAGTTACGATAATTTGTAATTCATAATTTTTTTTATAGCAATGTTATGCATTTTTGTGGAAATATTATACATTTTTATAACAATGTTATGTATTTTTGTAATAATATTATGCATTTTATGGTCTTAAAAAAGTTTCAACAAAAAAATCTATACCATACTACATAATGCAAATTTAATTTTTTAATCATAAATTGTCATAACTCAATAAAAAATGACATAACATTTGTGACAAAAATACGAAACATATATCAAAAATTTATATAATAAGAGGGCATATGATTCACATCTTTAAGCATGTCTGCCAAAAGATTCCCCATATTATATAATATACTAATTCTAATATAATTTTACAATTATATATTATAATCTACTTAGACACAATAAATTTCCAATGTTACTGTACAAATTACACATCTTTTTTTCCCTTTCTTCTATCCTTTTAATTAATTTACATTATTAATTGATTTATTAGATTTCATTGAATTGTTTAATTACTCAGCATTTAAAATTAATTAATAACTGTTTTGCTCAGATAATTTTTTTGCTCAGATTCTTGTTTTGTTTAATTTTTTTTCTTCATATTTGTTAGTGTTGAAATGGAGGATGGTATAATGGATGATGGCGGACTTGAGGGATGCATCGAAGAAATGGGAGAGTTGGCCAAGGATAAATCACCATATCTTGGTATGGAGTTTCCATCGAAAGAAGCTGCATATGAGTTTTATAATGAATACGGAAGAATTGTGGGGTTTAGTATTAGAAGAGATTATTGTAACAAAAGCAAGAAAGATGGTGTTATGACTAGTAGAAAGTTTGTTTGTTGTAAGGAGGGAGAGAGAGAAAAAGATAAACGGTACACGATAATAAAAAATCCTCGAAGTGAGACAAGAACAAATTGTAATGCATTCATGCATATATCTTTTAAGCGGGACTTGTTGAAATGGATTGTGTCAAAGTTTGATAGCAACCACAACCACCCTTTGCATCTTCCTCAATGTACTCATTTGATGCCATCTCAGAGAAAGGTATGTGATGCTCAGGGTATAAATATTGATATAGCTGATGAGACTGGAATATCTCTTAAGGCTTCACATGATCTTAGTAGTGCTATAGCAGGAGGGAAGGAATTTGTAGGGTTCACACGGGAGGATCAGAAAACCTACTTACGTGCAAAAAGACAGCGAAACTTGCAGTATGGTGAAGCAGGGAGTTTGTTAAGATATTTCCAGCAGCAAGTAGCAGAAAATCCATATTTTTACTATGCCATTCAGTTGGATGTAACTGAGATGATTACTAATATTTTTTGGGCTGATCATCAGATGATAACAGATTATGGGCTTTTCGGTGACGTGGTGTCATTCGACACAACTTTTAGAACAAATAAGGAATACCATCCACTTGCTATATTTTCTGGCTTTAACCACTTTAGAATGACAGTGATTTTTGGTGCAGCATTATTGTATGATGAAACTACAGAGTCATTTGAATGGTTATTTGAAACTTTTTTGGATGCAATGTCAGGAAAAAAGCCTATTAGTTTTTTCACAGACCAAGATCAAGCAATGGCTAAGGCAATTTCACAAATCATGCCTGAGGTTTTTCATGCGTTGTGCACTTTTCACCTAATGCAAAATGCTTTAAAGCATTTAGGTTACTTGTTCAAGAGTGGTTCAAAATTTAGTAGCGATTTAAAGGCTTGCATTTATGACTATGAGAATGAGCATGAATTAATTGAAGCTTGGAATTCTTTGATTGATAAATACAACTTGCAAGAGAATGAGTGGATGAAAAGAACTTGGAGAAAAAGAGAGCAATGGGCGCATGTGTATATGAAGTGGGTATTTACTGGAGGAATGCGAAGCACACAACTTAGTGAAAGTCTAAATGGAACATTAAGGAGATATTTGAAAGGTGATCATAACATTGTTCAATTCTTTACTCACTTCAATCGGATTGTTGTAGATAAGCAGTATGAGGAAATTTCTACAATATATGATTCTAGACAAAAGTTGCCAAGAATGAAATTAAAAAAGTCTCCCATTTTAATCCAGGTTGCGAGTTTGTACACCCCTCCTATCTTTGATTT